CGTTATGCTTGTTAGTTTGTTTTCAGATTGGGGAGTTCTGCTTAGCAGTTCGGCTTTCGGTAGGAATGTTTCACTAGCTGGGGTCTGTTATAAGACATCTACCTCTGTGGGTGTCTAACCCGGTCAATAGTATACATAGAATGCTTCCAACCACATGAGGGTTTCTATAAGCTATTGCTCCTTGTACCTCTTTGAGGAGGCAAGTTCTGGCTCGTGGTACTTGGTACTTGGTAAGCATTAGAACTCCATTCAAAGGACTGTTGTCACGGTCTAATGCATGCATATCAGCTCCGGGGAGCCGGAGGGGCTCTCCACAGAAATAGGTTAAATCTCTGATATGGATTACTACTAAATTGTTTTAACCCTTAAACTGCGCATGGCGTATATATACACCCTGAGTAACATGTCCCACGGTGCGCATGGCGTATATATACGCCATAGGGTGCCAGGCCCGATTCAAATGGCCCGCGGCTACACGGGGTTCACAGTAGCTTCCTCAGGGCTCTTGTAAACAGACGCCATTTTTTTTAAAAATCGTGGGCAATATTCTCAGGTGTGAGAGGCACAGTACTGTTGGAGCAACCAAGGCTGGCGCACGCAGCATGAGCGAACAGCATTGCTGTTCAGCTTGTGACCACAGCATCGCCGAAAAATGTCAAAATAAATATATAATTGTTATTATTTAGCGATGACAATATTACAGATGACCTATGACTGTGATATAAATAACCAGGGTTGTGATAATAGCAGGATTGTTGTAATAATTAGTGCTGTGGGACGAGTGATGCTGAGAGTCGGAGGGAGACAGCATCATTTACTGACTGTGTGGCTACCTGTTATTGTCTACATTCACCATACCAGCTCAGTGGTTCTCTATGGTGAACACAAATGTAGATGCTTATATATAATGTGTGTATTAGTGTAATAACAGCAAAAGGATTATGCTGGGAGGAGCCATATGGGTGACGGAGGTGACGTCGTCTGCATGAATTGTCTAGCTGTTTAGAGGGTGGCCACTATGCTCTTTGGGCGCACTGCAAGCTTAGGTGTACAGTTACGGTGCATAAAACATGTAGATACTTACAGTACAACCTCGATTCAACGTACTATATGGGACCGACCCAAGTTCGTTGGAGCGTTGGATTCGTTGCAAGAGGTGACCTTCAGGAGGCGTTTGCATCAGTGTCTTTATTTTTCTTGTAGACAATAAAAATGTATTATCATATTATATACTGTACCTATATATTATTACTCTACTAACAAATACTGTTACATTTGTTATTTACCTTACTGTTGGAGTTAAGTCCATCTTGAAGTCTCATGGAGTTGTGAATGCTGTACAGTAAATATTGTAGCCACAACCTAGATAGCATTGATCACGATACGCCACCCACCAGAGGTCATCATCGACCTCCTCTTCTGACCGAGGCAGGAAACCAGAGCCTTTCACAGATACCATGCCACCACCAACAGATGGCATTGTCTGCATAGCACCCAGTACCGGGAAGTTGGAGTGCAGACCACTAGATGGCGCTAAAATCGCCACTCAATACTCCAGCAACGGTGTCGATACCGTAACATGTACCCAGTATACTGTAGTTGCCTATATATAGTATAGGTGCTCGACCAGCTCCCATAGCCTTTGGATTCTCACCATACTTCATCTGTGTTAGCAGTGGGGCTCATTTTCTTTGTTCTTCAGTGTTATGCAGTTATGACAAGCGAACAAAAAAAATTCCCAATCTGCCTCGGTTTTAACTTTACTGTCTGATCGTGACCGTTCGTTCCTATTGTGTTTTCTCCGCTGACAAATGTTGTAGCTAGGGTTCGTTTCCAGGTGTTTTTGGGTTCTCGGATTCATCCTTTGGAGGTTTTCTTCCTCTCAACTTCCCCTTGCGGGGGTTGGAAAGCTCTTGACACATGCCTCCTGTGAGACCCGGTTCTGTGTTGGTTCCAGTTTTTGTTTGAGATTGGTTTCTCTTACACTAATCAGTTGGAATCCTCCATTCCGGTGTTTTCCTGGCTGGCAGCTTGCCTCTATGGCTGACTGGCAGCTTGCCTCTATGGCTGGCTGGCAGCTTGCCTCTATGACTGGCTGGCAGCGTGCCTCAATGGCTGGCTGGTGTGGGCTCCCTGCCAGTTGGCAGCTCTGCTTGGCTGAGTTCTGGTTCTTTCCCAGCTTGCCAGGTTCGGGTTCCTAGTAGTTAAGTGATAGTGCCAGTTAGTTCTGTCCCGGGTTCAGACTTGGCTGGGTCTTTTCTGGGATTCTCGGATAGCGTCTGTGTCTCTTCCCGCCTGTGGCATTGCTTCTGCTGCAATCCCACCTTCGGTTGTTAATGATGTGGTTCTGGGTCACTCGGGAGTTGCTTGAGCAGATATGCGGAAGCTTGAACTTCGCCTTGCTGGTTTACCCACTGGGTTGGGTTTGGCTGCGGAGTCTGTTCTGGTTCCTAAGGGGCCCATCCCTTCCGCTGCTCTCGGTGGGTCTGGGTGCTTTGCATCGGTTGCTGCGTCTCCAGCTTTCTCTTCGTTTTTTTTTAGTTCGGTGCCTTGGCGCCTTCTGGAACCCTCGCTCGGTGTGTTCATGGATGCCTCGTCTCTCAAGAGACCAGCCTTGAGCCTTGAGCCTTGAGCCAGATCGCAGGCTCTGCGATCCGGCTCCATTCGGACTGTGCCCTGGTGGTTCATTGCCCGAACCGTGGCAGGATGCTTGCTGGATGCTTCAAGTTCCTCTTCTGCTGTGTTCTCAGGGTTTAGCTCTTCGTGTGGTTAACATCAGGGGTGTCCATCATTCTGGTGGGCGGCCTGTCTCGGTTCATTCCTCTGTCCACGGACTGGACGGTTGACGCTGTCTCCTTCGGTTTGCTTTGCCGGATGTTTGGGGTCCTGGAGGTGGGCCTCTTCGTGTCAGTATGGTCGTGGCATCTCCTTGTATTGGTGGCACCCTTTCCCGACTGGAAAGCCATTGATTGTGGTGGACGCTTTTCGGCAGGACTGGTCGGGGTAGGGGGGGGTAGCTGTACCTTTTTTTCCCGGTCCAGCTGTTGCTCTGGGTTCTGGCTCTCAGAGGAGAGTTCTCCTTCTGGCTCCGTGGTAGCCGGCCCAGCCTGTGTTTCAGGCGCTGCTTGCTCGGTGTCCGAACCCGGGGCATTTTCCATGGCTCCGCTTCTTTCATCAGATCGGACCGGTACGGTACCTTGTTGATTCGATCTATTCTCCCACTCTTCAGGTCTGGTATTTCTGACGCATGTGTATCATTGCTTGTTTGGTGATAAGGTGGCTTCTCTAATGGTGTCCTACCTGCGGTCTTTGTGGCGACAGTATGAAGTCTCTTGGCATTCTTTTCACTATATCCTTTCTCTTCATAGATTGTCTTCTGTTTCTGTTCAGGTAGTTTTTTTCCTTCCTTTCTTGGCTTTTTCAGGACTGGCATCCAATGCCGATTACTGTTGCCTCTTCTCATGCGGCGCAGGTGGAGCAGCTTGCGTTTGGGGTGGATGTCAGTTCTGCTCCGTTCCGTGAGCTTTCTCGTGCATTTTCTACCTCCGGCCTGCTCGTGCGCGGCCTGAGCTCTTCTGATCTTTGGACTGGGTACTCTCTTTCCACCTCGGTTTGTGGTGGCTCCTTCAGTTCATGTTTACTTTCTGTAGGTTTTGTTTCTGTTGGCTCTAGCCTGTGGGGGTCAGGGTGGTGAGTTTCCTGTTCTCCCCCAACATAGGGGTTTCTGCTCTTTCGGTCCTGGAGGATGTTTTGTTCGTTTGCAGCCATCTCATTCTTTTCTGGCGAAGAATGAGACAGAGGACTTCCCGAGGGGGCCCTTGTGTTATTGATGCTTGGTTTGTCAGGCTAGGGGTGCATCATGTTTTGTGTCCAGTTGCGGCTTTACACCATTACCTGCGCGCCTCAGCTTCTGTGTCCTGAGATGTGCTTTGGGTTGACCCTGTTTCTCTTGTTCCCTGTTCCAGGGCTCGGGTCTCTCAGGTCATCCACAGGGTTTTCAAGTCAAGACAGCCTGCGTTCTTCCCTCGTGCCCATGATGTTCGAAGGTTTGCGGCTCTCCCTGCTGTTTTTGAGAACGTGTCATGGGCTGACATTTGGGCACAGGGATTTTGGTGATCGGACAGGGTCCTGGCCGCCTGTTCTCTCGTGAACGGTCCGGGCCCTCAGCAGTCTTGTATGGCCTTGGGAAGTCAGTTGCAACCAGTTGTCCCATCTTTGTCATGGGGCATGCGGTGCTGCTGCCTCCTGGGTAAGTTCCTCTTTTACTTATCTTTGGGTGTCTAGCTCCAGGGAGCCGACAGGGCTCCTCTCATAAAACCAGCTTTGAATGTAATGAAACTCCATTTTCTGTGTGTGCCCCGGAGGCTCTCTGGCACCCTTCTTCCATCCAGACATCGTTCTTTTCTTCTGTTTGCTCAGTCTCCAAACTTGTGGGCAGACAGCCAGCTCTGTGGGGCGGGGCCTCTCCCTCCCCCTCAAGGGGGGATGGGGAGAAGCCCCCCGACGATTTGCTTGTTTCCTTGTTTTTCTTTGAGGGAGTTTTTGGCTTCTGTTTTGATCTCAGGTTGCAATTTTCTACCAGTTGGGATCTATTTTGGGGCACCTACTTTTCTGGGTGCCCAACCCTGCTTGATGGTAGACAGGAATATTCTCTCAAAGAATGGGTTTTCATAGACCATATCTCCCTTCATCTCTCTGGGGGAACCAGGTTCTGGCTCATGGTTCCCGGTAGGCATAAGAACTCCATATGACTGAAGCCCCGAACTAATATAGCTAATATCAGTCCGATAGCTCCAGGGAGCCTCTAGGGCTCACCCACACAGTGGCATTTCATTACATTTAACACTGGTTTATTTATGAGAAAATAAGAATGACATGAGGACTATGGGTGTGTGACTCAAGTATTCCAAAGTGTTTTCCATGAAAATTGTATCTTTATATATATTTAGTGTTATTAAAGAGTTCAAAATGTATGAAGGTTGTTCAAATCTCATTTGCAGATGCTGTGAACAAGTTAGTCGATCCCTCAGCAGGAGAGAGGATGTGGTGTACCAGCTCTTTCCTATTTTGTTTGGTAATGCTGGGCTCCTGTTAGTTGATCACATCCACTTCCAGTACAATGGCTTCCTATATGGCATCTTGTTCCTGTCTATAGCAAGATTGCTGCAGGTGGGGACTGTAACTGTGTGTGTGTGTGTGTGTGTAATATAGATTTTTTTAATAGTTTGTCCATGTTGCGCTATACAGTATAAAACTATTGCATCGTTATGGTGTTATTACTCATTAACTTATATGCTTAATTTGAATAGAAAATCTAGTTAAATTAATGATTTGTTTACAAGCCCATTCTTTACATTTCAAGCTGTTGCAGCCTCAATTACCATGATTATGGTGCAACCGAGATCCCCTCTTTTTCTGTGGAAGTCTTTGGGGCACTTATTCCTTTTTCTAGTTCAAGTATCTTCACTTTTCATTTTGGTAAAGCTGGCAGTCTCACTCTTTATATTCTCACATCTTGTTCGGCCTTCTCCGCTGATGGAGGTGCCACCATATTCCAGACAGAGTCAGCAGGCATCAGTCTCGGGTGTACATTTGCATCAAAGTTATCTGGGGTTTTGCAGTAAATGGGGTTTATTTTGGTTCAATCTTTGGGGAAGGGGTTTTGGTGACCTCTGTAGGTGATTATCCACATTTTCTGCTTGCTCAGGTTTAAGGCATTAGCATGGAGCTGAGCTCCATCCCTGGTCCCTTTTTCCCATCTTGATTGAAGGAAGGTTCTAAGGTGTCAGGAGTTTTTATTTAGGAGGATATGGTGGCCTTGTTGTCTCATCTTTCAACTACTGTATATGCCTGGTGCTCTATGTGTTGCTTCTTTCTTTTCTTCTGGTTAGTTTGGGCTTTTTCTTCCTTGACTTTCCAATGGGTGTTCCCAGATGTATATGGGTGAATCAGTTTTTCTCCTGTTACGAGAGTTGCTGTAGGTTCTCTTAATTTCTCAGTTGTTAGGTGATTTGCTGTTCCTACTACAAGGCCATTGTGTGTTCAGATATGTTGAGTTCAGACTGGTTGCTGACTCTCCTAGCTTGCAAATGTGCCTTTTCTTGTCACCAAGGTCATGGCATTTCCTTCCTGACCCCAGTATTGGAAATGCCACGATCCCTGATGTATGGTTTTGGAGGTCTTGGGGGTTCTGGGGGCTCGTTACCTGGTCAATGTCCCTGGACCTCATCTAACGTGTTGCCCTGGTAGAGGTTCCTCGTCTTGGTCTTTACCTCTTTCTGAGTTTGATCTTTGCTCTCCTCAAATGGTCAGTCCCATTTTTCTTCTTTTGTGGTTAGCAACTAGGAGCCACCATTTTGGTCCCTCAAGAAAAGCAGTGTTGAATGTAATGAAATGCTTTTTTCTGGAGGGCTTTGGTGGGTCCTTGGACCCTCCCCTCTGAACCAGGTGTATTGGTTAGTGTTCTTAGGCTCCAGACTGATTACTGATCTGGGGAACTAGCAGCTCCCATGGTGATGCCACCTGGTTGTGGCCAGCTGTAACTCCAAGGTGGAAGGCCTGTGATCTAACTACTGTATTGGGTGAATTGTTTGCTGCATTGTTTGTTTGTTTCCTGTGAACATTGCTGTTGTCTGTTTTGCTTGGCTTACTTTCTGGGGGTTTGTTTATTTGGTAAGGGTGAGCATGAATCCTCTGCTAGCTGCACTACTGTGAGGGAGCAAGTTTTGGCCTCTGATCTCTAGTATGCTAGTTAGGACTCTTAGGTCTAATGTGGCTTATGTGTAATTACCTAAGTGTATTTACAGGATGAGAGCTATACTCGTGGTGTCCCGTTTCCCCAGCACTCTTTGTCATATTATTTTGAAATTATGGACGGTTTTGACCTCCACCACCTTCTCACTTAACTTTTTCCAACCGTCTACCACTCTGTTTACAAAAGTGAATTTTTTTATATTTCTCCGGCATCTTTGTTTCGTTAGTTTAAATCTATGACCTCTTGTTCTTGAAGTTCCAGGTCTCAGGAATTCTTCCCTATCAATTTTATCGATTCCTGTTATTATTTTGAATGTATTGATCATATCGCATCTTTTTCTTCTATCTTATAGTTTTTGCATATTTAATGCCTCTAACCTCTCCTCGTAGCTCTTGTCTTTCAGTTCTGGGAGCCACTTAGTGGCATGTCGTTGCAACTTTTCCAGTTTCTTGATGTGCTTCTTAAGATATGGGCACCATACAACCGCTGCATATTCCAGCTTTGGTCTAATAAAAGTCGTGAACAATTTCTTTAGTATTTCTCCATCCATGTATTTAAAAGCAATTCTGAGGTTAGAAAGTGTAGCAAAGGCTCCTTGCACAATGTTCTTAATGTGGTCCTCAGGTGACAGTTTTCTATCTAGAACCCCCCCTAGATCCCTTTCTTTGTCAGAATTCTTTAAAGATTTCTCACATAATTTATAGGTTATGTGGGGTCTATGTTCTCCAATTCCACATTCCATAACATGGCATTTATTCACATTAAATTCCATTTGCCAAGTGGTGCTCCATATATATATTTTGTCCAGGTCTTCTTGAAGGGCATGACAATCATCTAGGTTTCTTATCTTCCCTATTATCTTAGCATCATCAGCAAACATGTTCATGTAATTCTGTATTCCCACTGGTAGATCGTTTATGTAGACAATGAACATTACCGGTGCAAAAACTGAACCCTGTGGTACTCCACTCGTGACATTCCTCCAATCCGATACCTTGCCTCTGATTACGGCCCTCATTTTTCTCTCAGTTAGGAAATTTTTCAACCATGTTAGTAGCTTACCTGTCACTCCTCCAATATGTTCCAGTTTCCAGAACAGCCTCTTATGGGGAACTCTGTCGAAAGCCTTTTTTAGGTCCAGATAGATGCAGTCAACCCAACCATCTCTTTCCTGTAAAATCTCTGTGGCTCGATCATAAAAACTGAGTAAGTTCGTTACACAGGATCTTCCAGATCGTAAACCATACTGTCTGTCTGATATTATATCGTTTTCCTCCAGTTGTTCTACCTATTTACTTTTAATTATTTTTTTCCAATATTTTGACTATTACACTTGTCAATGATACAGGTCTATAATTAAGAGGGTCTTCCCTGTTTCCACTTTTGTAGATTGGAACTATGTTAGCCTTTTTCTACACATCAGCTACAACTCCTGTAAACAGGGATGCCTGAAAAATCAGTTGAAGTGGAATGCTGAGCTCAGGTGCACATTCTCTCAGAACCCATGGTGAAACTCCATCTGGACCTACTGCTTTGTTCTTATTTAGCTCCTTGAGCATTTTTTACGCTTCGTCTCTAGACACCTCTATGTGCTCTATGTTGTTCTCTGGAATTCTTATTGTGTCTGGTTCCCTGAAGATTTCATTTTGTACAAACACACTTTGGAACTTTTCGTTTAATGTTTCACACATTTCCTTTTCATTTTCCGTGAATCTATTTCCCATTTTCAACCTCTGAATATTATCTTTTACCTGCAATTTGTTGTTTATGAATTTATAGAATAGACCTGGTTCTGTTTTACATTTGTCTGCAATCCCTTTTTCAAAATTTCTTTCTGCCTCTCTCCTCACTGCCGTGTAGTTGTTTCTCGCATCTTTGTATCGCTGGTATGTTTGGGAGTTTGGCCTCCTCCTGTATTGATTCCATTTTTGTGTGTTTTGGTCTCTGGTCCTCTTGCAATTTCTGTTGAACAAATCCTGTTTCCTAGTTCTGCATCTCTGTTTTGGTATAAATTTTTTTGTGTCTATTATATATTTCACAAAACTTGACATACATCTTATTCACTTCCGTGCCTAGCATCAAGTCTGTCCAATTATACTCACAAAAAAAAATTCTAAGGTCGCCATAATGTCCTCTCCTGAAGTCTGGTTTTTCAACTGCTTCAACTTCTTTATTTTCTTCCAGATTATAACACATTGCATACTTTATTCCCAAAAAGACATGGTCACTTTTACCCAAGGGAGGAGGTACTGAATGTCAAATATCTCTTCCTCCTTCTTGGTAAATATCAAATCTAGCATGGAGGGAACGTCCTCTTCCTTCATCCTCGTAGCTTGTTTAACATGTTGATACAAGAATGTTTCCAGGATGAGGTCTACAAATCTACAGGTCCAAAAATCTTCTGTTTTAGCTTCATATGCTTCCCAGTCTATGGATTTCAAGTTGAAGTCACCAACTATCAACAATCGTGATCTATCGTTATCCGCTCTCGCTATAATCTCTCTCTCATTATTGTTATAAGACCTTCTCGTTTACTATCTAGCTCCTCCTTTGACCATGTGCTGCTTGGCGGTGGACTATATGCATTTATGATCATTAGTTTGTCATCCTCATGGCAGATCTCTAGTGCTATTATGTCAGCTTCTTGTGGATTGGCAGTCATTATTTCCTTCACCTTTAGGTGTTCTTTCACCAGCACAGCAACGCCACCGCCTTTCCTAATTTTTCTGTCCCATCTCCAAATTGAGTAGCCCCTTGGGAATATGAATTCATTTAAAATAACATCTTCAAGTTTTGTCTCCGTGAGTGCAACAATGTCTGGTGTCTGCAGCTGTATTACATCACTTAACTCCAGTATCTTCGATCTTACTCCATCTATGTTGGTGTATGCAATCTTCAGGAACTTGTTCCACCTCTCCTTATTTTTCACTCCCCCTCTCTCTATTGATTTTGTTGGTTTGCCGTTATGTACCACTTTACTGGTCTGCCTACCCTTATCACTTTGTAGAAAAAAGAATTGAGTTCTTCTTCATTCCTGCTCTCATTTAAACGTTTTGCCTCGGCGAGGTTCAGTTTCAGCTTCTCTCTGTCTTCTTTTGAAAGATCTTGTCTTAACGACCACACTTTCCCATCCTCATTACTTTGTAATTTTTTATCATTCCTTAGTACTACTTCCATCTGTTTGGCACCATTCAGGGTGATCCTCAAAGGTCGATCTTTCCCTTTTACGTACCTGCCTATTCTCCTGTAGTCGCACACTTTCTCTATGGTATTAAGACCTTCTACGAGGCCAACAATTTTATTTACTACTTTCGCTTCTTCTACAGCTTTTTCTGACCTATATGTTATCTCCTTTTCTTTGCAACCAAAAATTATCAGGGACTTACTCCTATCAACTGTGTTTTGCCCCAACTTC